GATCTGCCTGTTCTGCTCCCCACTCTGTCTCTGGTGAAGCCTCTCGCCACCCCTGAGCCTCTGGCCTGTACCCCAGTTCTGAATGTACAAATAAAATAAATCTTTAAAAAAAAAGAAACCAAACTCAGCCTTTCTAAAAGTAAAATTTTCAATTTTATCTAGCAGTTTATAGTTCATGTGTAAAGGCTTCAGTGATGAATATTCAAGTTATTTGGCACATGAAATACTTTTCATCTGTAAAAAGTGGCTCTGGCTTACAACGCATAATACTTTCAAGTGGTTTCCCATTTGAATTAATGGGAAATTTGGTCTGACTCACATAATAATTTAATAAACACTTATGTATCATAAAGTAGTCATAATTGTTTCATTTATTGCCTTTAAATTGCAGGTAGAATCTTTTCAAATACATCATTGCTGTTACGTTAGCTGCTTCTCTAAATATTTGACTTATGTTTTTAATTTTAATTTAGTAAAAAAATTTATCTGGGCTTAACATATACATGCAAATCAATTCAGATAAACATCCCTTTCTAGCACTGTTCCTTAATCTCTTTTGGGTCAGAGAATATAATAAAATTATATTAAAGAATATAATAAAAATATGGTGACTCATGCACAAAAGTTAACAGAAGGATAGACTTATGTTTTACAAAAATTTTAGAGTTTGCTGGCTCCATCTATTCCATCTTTGACCTCCAGGTTTAAAGCAACTAGTTCATAGGTTTGTTTATATTCTTAAGATTAATATATTACTTTGTTTTCTGTTAGGCTTACCTCATTTTTCTTCTGGTCTTTTCCGCTGCTGGGGAAGAGATACTTTTATTGCCCTTAGAGGTATACTGCTGATTACTGGACGCTATTTAGAGGCCAGGTAGGAGATCGCAAAAAGTTGCAATGCCAGTTTATGTCTGAATGATTTTCACATGTTCTTCCCATCTTCCTTCTTGTGCATCTATTCTAGTCTCAACATTGGGGAGGTATGTTTTTCTTGGATGTTCTTTTTTAACATGTCATCTAATAAGATCATAGAATTTCGGTTGAAATTGAAAATAACTGAAGTGACTTAAGTTCTAGTATCTCACATTACAGGTCATCAACATTTGCTAATTTATTTAATGAAACTAAAAATAATGCATGAACATACCACTGATATCACTCATAAATAATAAAATTTCTATGCCTGAATTAAGTGTAAGAAATCAGATAAACTTTTAGACAATATATGAAAGCTTAATTCTCATTTTCCTACAATAAAGACATTGCTGGCTCTTTAACTGGCTGATGCAGAAAAAATTGTGTCAAATTTACCTCTATCTGTTGCCCTTGTGGCTTCCAATTTTATACTTTTAGACTTAAAATTGTCTTCACATATGTCACAACAATATGAATTTAACAGAAGCAAAAAAAGAAAATCTCCACAGCAGTGGCATTCAGATCGTGTCCTCAAACCAGCAGCGTTAGAAATACAAGTTCTTAGTCACTATCCCAGGTTTGCTGAATGTGGGTGGGAAGGGCAGAATTGGCAGCCAGAGATCTATTTTTATAGAGGCCCCAGATGATTTTCAGAAGCCTCTGGCTAAAAGCATTGTGTGGGATCTCCAAGCTTCCTGATTATCAAGGCTCTTTATTGTCTTGGTGCCTACGGTTCCTGCTGGTCAAGCTGAAATGTAGTCAGACAGGGGGCTTCTCACCCTGCCAAACATCCTAGTATGAGGAACATACTGAGAAACCAGTATCGGCTGAAAACAGCAGGCAGACATTATGGCCAGATTGGCAAGATCAGCTTAATGCCTTACTTGTACAGATTAACAGAAAGTTTGGTAAGAATAGGGATTAGAGATAGTATGTTTTGATTAGCAGGAACTATGGAGCCTCTAAGCAATAGCCTCTGGTCACTCTAGCTTGCACCACACAGTGTCACACCTCCAATAATGCGCCCCACAAATGTACATTACATCCCCTACTTACCCATCTTCTCTAAATAAATATGAGAGTGCCCATAAATAGGAGCTGTGCTTTTTCAGGTGTAAGTCCCTCTAGGGCTCGCTCTCTCTCACTTGAACTTGAATATTCTTTCCTTCATCCCTCACCATTCCAGTGCTGCTTCCCTGTGAGGCGACAGCATTGCTCCACAAGGTAAAACTTTTAACTAAAAAAGCAGTTTTGTGACACCTTGTTTTGATATCATCAGAAAAAACAACTGATTTACCTCTTCAAATGAGAAAAGGTTTATTTTAGATCTTGAAGTTACAGATTTCTAAGATCTAACGTATACTATTCCCTGTTACACTAATATAATAAGGCCTTATTGACTTAAATGACAGTTGTAGAGCTGCAGAAATTTGGGAGTTTGTTCACTTCCTCCCCCTAGATAGTGCTCACTGACTATGCTTAAAAACTAAAAAATGGAGCATGAAAATTCAGCATAATAGGGTGATTAAGCTCTTGGATTTGGGTCCGACTGCCAGGTTCTAATCCTGGTTCCAAACTACCAACTGACAAATTATTTCTTTGTGCTCACTGTAAAATGACTATAATACTCACCTCATAGGGTTTTATGAGTATTAAATGAGCTGATACAGTTAGTGTCAAGAACGGTGTGTGTCATATAGTACACATTGTGCATTTTTTTAACCATTATTTTCATTGTTATCTGGGCTCTGGTTATTACTTCTATGTACCACCAAAAACTTCTGCTTTCCGACTTTACTCTAGAGTAAGGGTCAGCAAATTGTGCCCCAGCACATATTTTAGATAAGCAGGGAGCAATGAATGATTTTTAACTTTTTAAAGTCCTTCAAAAAAGATGAATACATGACTGAGAGCTGAGTACATGTCCAAAAGTCCTAAAATCTTTATGTTCTGACCCTTCACAGAAAAAGTTTACCTAGCCCTGACAAGATGTTGGCTTCAGGAAAACATTCTGCGGTGTGGGTACTTGCCATTTTGAATTATAAACTCATAAATTTCTATGACTTTTTACAAACAAACTGTATTATTTGCTTTTAGCCCTGTGTGGGTATTTGTGAAGCAACTTTTCACAGAGTGATTCAGGGATACATTCTTCTTCATCTTGAGGGACTGCAGTCTTCCAAACCCTCCAAGCCCTCTCCAGTCAGCTTTTAGAGAGCCAGCCTAGGAAAAACCGCACCTGTTTTCCATGCACTTAGCATACATCAGTTGCATTTACATTCTTTTGCCTAGAATGCAGTCATGTGGCCACAAGCGACTATAAAGTAGGCTAGAAATATGTAGGAAAGTCATGGTTGGTGAATACATGACTGTCTCTAACAAATAGTTCTTACTCCCCTATGTAGAGGTATTGATGAACTCAACTTTAAAGTGTATGACATTGTTCTGGATGGTTAAAATTGCTAACACTCTGACCTTTTATTAATTTGAAGTTCTACTTTCCATATAAGTATGGAGAGCTTTTATATTGTGGATGATAAAGTTTCCTACTGCATTATTAGTGAAGAAATAGACCTCAAACTGAGGTTGAGAATAAACATCCTGTATTGTAGCCAGACAGCAATAAGGCTTCTACAGCTTTAATGACTTCTTCAAGTTCATATGCACTAGGATTTAAACTTCAGTCTTGTTAGTTTCATGCTCTATTTAGAATGTCATGCCATCTTACGAGCCAAATTGTCATCTGATATATGTTAATAGACTAACAATTTAAAAGATAAAGTATTTTCCACCCGTTTTAAAAAAATGAATTGTTAGTCAAGGTCAACTTTTGTTTCTTTTTCTACTTACATGTCTGCTTTGTTCTTGGTACCTACTATTTAAATTAATAGTGTTCATGTTTGTAGTTACTTAGATTTTGAAATACCATTTTCAGAAGAAGAATATAAAGCTCTGAGGGACCATAAAAAATCACCCAGTCTAATCCCTGATTCCACAGATAGAAAAACTATACCAGAAAGGTGAAGTCACACAGATTATGAGAGAAAAAAGCCAGGGCTATGATAAAGGATTTTGACTCAGTTCTATCATACCATAATCACTTTCTATAAGAAAATTAAAAATATATATATAAAGGCAGGAGAGAAAATGCATCTGAAATAATTGTCATCAAAAGTGACTTTTTTTTTTCAATTTTTGAAATGTTTGTTTTCCTGTCAATTGGTCCACCTAATTCTGTTCTTTTAGGAATATTATTTTAGCCTTTGCTGCAACCCTGAGACATGGCCTCATTCCTAATCTCCTGGGAGAAGGAACTTATGCCAGATACAACTGCCGAGATGCTGTGTGGTGGTGGCTACAGTGTATTCAGGATTTCTGTAAAATGGTTCCAAACGGTGTTGACATCCTAAGGTGCCCAGTTTCCAGAATGTACCCTACAGATGATTCTGTTCCCTTGTCTGCTGGCACACTGGTAAAGATTATTTCTTAAAATAATTTCTTCCTGAAAATCTTTTAGCATCTAACATAAAAATACATGTAGTTAAGAATGCAAAGCTTAAGTATCAAGATTTTTCAAATATTGATATTGATAGTAGTTGCTGGTACGAGGAAAGATCACTGGATAAGACTTGCTCCTTGCCTAAAGAGCTTACATCATGGTAAAAAAAAATGAAGTGGAAAAAGTCAAAAATGAAAGGAGTGGACTGAAGTACAGTGTAAGACCATTGCTTAATCTAATTTTATTTTTGTATACAGTACTTGTATGGTAGTAACAAGTTGTGGAAAGGTATAAATCAGGTTGTGGTAACTGTTAACATGTTGTTTATCTTATGAACAGTGCAGAAGGAATTTATGAGCATTTTCCCCATCAAGAATAGATAGTGATGCTGTACTTTTACTGCTTCTAATCTGCCTTTCTGTTATATAGTTCATTATTAGTGTTGGAGACTTCCAAACCACTTCCAGGCTACCATACATTTGTGTCCCTATAATATGTATATCATGAAGTTTTCAAAGAATATTTGTGCAAAACATTTTTTATTTAAAATGGCACTTTAATATATAATTTATCCCCATTCTTGTATATGTGGATGAGTAAGAACTGCAATCCCATTTAAAAACCCAGATTTCTGTAATAAGCTAGACTTATCCATTAGCTGAATAATTCACTTTAACAGAATCTACTCGAGTTCACAAAATTGGTTTCAGATGTCAGTAAAATTGTGACATATTTCATGTCCCAGACATTACTAGTCAAAACTATAGTCTCTTAGATATGCCAGTGCCAAAAGTTAACCATATTATTTGGCGTATGGGAGCTGCTGCTTTCCCTAGTCCCACTCCAGTCCCCTCCTTCCCTTCCGAAAGAAAGTGTATTTTTTACAAAGCTTCATTTGTGGAATTTGGAAAGATTTTTTTTTAAAGATTTATTTATTTATTCATACAGAACTGGGGTACAGGCCAGAGATGTGGAGAGTGAGAGGATTCACCATAGACAGAGTGGGGAGCAGAACAGGCAGATCGACAAAGTACACTGCTGAGGGAGCAGCGGGAGGGTCAGGAGAGGTCTGCCGCACCGTGTGGATCTCCTCCAGGGCAGGCGGGGATCGAACTCATGAGGAAGTGACTTAAGCTTCTCAGTGCAGTGCTTTAACCCTCTGCGCCACTAGGGAGGGCCGGGAAGAAGATTTTTTAAAAACATAATTTCTAACAGCGGTCACGTTTGTTATGCTTCATATAGGATCAGCCATTGTTTGAAGTAATACAGGAAGCTCTGCAAAGACACATGCAGGGCATTCAGTTCCGGGAGAGGAATGCTGGCCCACAGATAGACCGAAACATGAAGGATGAAGGTAATGACTTAGAACCACACTAAAAATAAAAGTCTGTGCTTTGTCTATCAATTTTGTAGCATTGTTGGTAGTTGTATTTATAATCTAATAATTGCTAATGACAGAGTGCTTACTAGGTGCTAGCTGTTGTGCCAAGTACTTTACCTATGTTACCCCCATTTAACACTAACAAGCACATTAAAGAAGACTTGAATTGTTTCCATTTTTACTGCTATCATAACTAAGGCAGAGTAGCTTGCTCAAAGCCTCATATTTCCTACGTGGCAGAGCTAGGAGTTCTTCCAATCTGTCTCTGTAACCTAGACTCTTAGAAGATACTTTTTGTAGATTTGTACAGTGTATATCCTATCAAAGTGGTCTTCATGTACTAATGAACCTGCCAAAATTTGGCATTATCCACTAATCTTAGATATGCCAGTGCCATATAGGTATAAAGCAGCTGTAGGTCTCCTGTCACTGATGAATATGAGTATATGTTTATTGCCTTCTTGGGAGGTTTTCTATAAGTTGTTCATTCATGTTCTTTGCCTTTATTTGTCTACTTTTTGGCATTCCTGTATTTTTCTTATTTATTTCATGGAATTCTATATTGTAGACATGTCAGTTCTAGATACTGCATAATCCTTTTCCCAGTCTGACAACCAACTTAACTTTATCTATCCTGTCCTTCAACATTCTGAGTTACTTGAGGACTTCACCATAAGAATTTGACATAATTCAACCCAAATCAGATGGTAACATTGATAGTTTTTAGTTTTAAATATGTTACTGACAACATTATAAATGTTAGACTTAGTATTTTAAGGCAATTTGGATGATGAGTCCAAACATATTTTATGAGATGTAAAACACTGTTATTTTTCATGAAATGGAATAAATAATACAAAAAAACTCATATCATGGGCCTCCCCTGGTGGCACAGTGGGTTAGGACGCAGCACTGCAAGCTGGCTGCAGCTGATTCATTGCAAATTTGATCCCCCACCCCAGAGGTGATCCACATGGCTTGGCAGACCTCTCCTGACCCACTCACTGCTCCCCTCAGCAGTGTACTTCGTCATTTAGCCTGTTCTGCTCCCATTCTGTCTCTGGTGAACCTCTCACCACCCCTGCACCTCTGGCTTGTACCCCAACTCTGTATGAATAAATAAATAAATCTTTACAAAAAAAAAAGCAAAGACATATATAGATGTCACATCTAATACGTGAGAAATAATCGAATTTGAAATATTTATGAAAATTTTACTATCATGTGAAAAGACTGAAGGAATCTATAAATGTAATAGTTTCATTAGGATAATTGACTTCTTTTGTTCTGCTCTTATTTTTAAGCATCAAGTGATAAACTTTTTAAATGATTGTATATATTTCAGGTAACTCACTAACTTTAGCAAAATTTGATGTAGACTCAAAAATCTGAATTACTTATTGTATATTCTAAATTATATTTTAAATGATAACTCAGACTCTCTTTAGTTAGTTTATTGTTTGTAATAGTGATATATAAGTTGTATACATACTTGAACTGATATGAATCAGTTTGATCCTTTACAGAGAGAAATAATTAGAAATAGATTTTGTATTTAATGGACATTTTTGTGAGGTTATTTTAGTTTTTCATTTTAATTATAAAATATGTTAACTTACAAAATATAATATAAATTGCTCCTTCAAAACCTAGAAATGAAATTAGACAAATGTTTAATATTTAGCCATATTTTCTCTTCTGTTTTGAAAAAACATTAACAGAAATATAGAAAGTTTCATCTCTTTCTAGGATTGACTGTCCTATAGTCAATGTATATTTTCCATGTATACTTTTGTAGTTTTATATATTTGTGTGTTTGAATTACATATATTTGTATATATCATATAATATGTACTAAGTATATTAATTCAGATTACCATGATGTCATATTAAACATATACCTTATGTAGCCATTTGTTTTTAATTTATACAAATATATTAAACATAGCCATATAAAAATACATAGTTATGTATATTATAAATATTTCAAAGTTTTACAGGAAGGGTATCTTAGTATGCACAGCATTTCAAAACTAGTTTACTTAATCATTTTTTCTTGGGGATATATCCATTTTGAATCATGTAAATACAGTTCACTAATTTTAAACAGGATAGTTTTCCATTGTATGAATAAACCAGCTTTTGTCCATTCCTCCATTTTCTTACTGTTTAAAAGCAGTGTTGCACTGAGGTTCTTATACATCTGTCTGTAGGCATGTAGGCAAGGACTTCTCTAGGGAGTATATCTAGAAGTGAAATTACTATGTGATAGAATATGCACTTCTTTGACTTTTAAAGTATTATCAAATTACTCTGTTGAGCAGTTCCTAGCTTATATCCCTTTTAAGTTATAAATGTTCTATTTTATATTTTTAGGTTTTAATATAACTGCAGGGGTTGATGAAGAAACAGGCTTTGTTTATGGAGGAAATCGTTTTAACTGTGGCACATGGATGGATAAAATGGGAGAAAGTGACAAAGCTAGAAACAGAGGGATCCCAGCCACTCCAAGGTAGTGTTCATAGTTCTTACATAATAAAACCGTTTTTTAAAAGCTATGTGTTGTTTTAAACATGTGGAATCCTGTGTCCATGAAGTCAAAGCTCCCTTCTTCCTCTCCCACAATATGCATATACACAGTCCTTTTAGTATAAGTCATCAAAACTATCTGTTCTCTTCTGGGAGTTCCCATGGGTTAATTCTCTACAAACACCCTAAAGGAAAATATTTTTATGTATTATCCTGTCGTTAAGGCATTTTATAATCTGAAATGCTTTCAGAGTAAGCATTGCTTTCTATCCATCTTTTATAAATATGGACAATAATCAATTGTCCTATCTTTTATGAGATCCTTTCTGAACCTTTTCTTCCCCATAATCTCTTTTGTCTTTCATCCCATCATGTCCTGTGATTTTAGATTCTTAGAACAATATCAAGTCTTGAGAATCCATTTTCTTATTCTATTTTCAGTCAATTATCAAAAAAAAAACATTAATTATTGTAGCTGTTTTTAAATGCTTTTAATTCTTTTTAAAGCCAAATTATTTTTATATATTACTAGATTTTGTACTTCCCTACTTCCTTTTCACTTTTCTTAAAAATAAACTTTCCCATTATTAATGTTCATCTTCCCTGATTTTTTTCCAGTGCTGCATTCTATGTTTATCTTCTCTCTGGTACTTTATCTCAGTTTTCTGATTCTTATTACCACTTTTTTCCAGGTGCCATCTTCTTTTACTCTATGTTCCCACATTCTATTTATAGGATTTTTTTTAAATGTTAATAAACAATGACAAAAGTGTACAAGGAGAGATTCTTATAAAACACGCATTACTGTAAAGTGAGGGGGTTGTTTTATAGATAATTGTTTCTATAATACATGTTCTATAATTCATCAAAATTGTTTATTCAGTGCTTAGTTTACAACAGTACTTAATGCCCCAACTCACAACATAAAATTTATTTTTAATTTTAGAGATGGGTCTGCTGTAGAAATTGTGGGCTTGAGTAAATCTGCCATTCGTTGGTTGCTGGAATTATCTCAAAAAAATATTTTTCCTTATCGTGAAATCACAATAAAAAGAAATGGTAAGCTATTCATTATTTACAGAGAAATCTCAAATGTATTATCTATATTGTTATTCTGCGTAAATCAACATGTTTTGTTCCCCCACCTCTTCCCCTACCATGCAATCATCTTTTGACTCAATTAACTGACATTAGAAAACCTTTAAAATTAAGAGGAAAGAAAGACTATAATTTGCTAGTATGAAAATTGTAACAAACCTAGTTACTAACTATATTTTCATAGCAATTTTGAACTAAGATATGAAAAATATCATATTTATGATTTGTTATACTTCTTCCTCAGTATGACAGTGAGCAAATTAAATTTTTAGTGAGAAATTGATGTCTTTACATCTTTTTTTACACCAGTGCTATCCAATAAGTACATAATTTAAGCTATAGACAAGTTTAAGCTTTCTCGTACCCACATTTTAAAAAGTAACAGAAGAAATTAATGTTAATGTATGTTCTAACAGTATATTCCAAATACTATTTCAACATGCAGTCAATATGAAAGTATCATGAGTTAACTGACCTTCTTTCTTTGACTATGACTAAATGTGTGTGGATTAGGTTGTTGAATGCTTAAAACAACCAAGTTTTTTATTATGCTTCAGGAAAGACTCTGACAGTCTCATATGAGGAGTGGAACAGAAGAATACAAGAAAACTTTGAAAAGCTATTTTATGTGTCAGAAGACCCTTCAGATTTTAACGAAAAGCATCCTAATCTGGTTCACAAACGTGGCATATACAAGGATAGTTATGGAGCTTCAAGCCCTTGGTGTGACTACCAACTCAGGCCAAATTTTACCATAGCAATGGTTGTAGTAAGTGATTTGTTATCTTCAGACTTCAGTGATGTTATGATAGGGCTTATGAAGTTCTTTATTCCCATTCATTTAAGCTTAATTAGTATGTTGTTCTTGAAAAATATCTGTATTCCAAGACCTCCCAGCTGGTGCACAGGTTAAAGTCTCAGTGCTACCAAGCTATCACCAGCCAATGTGGCATGAGTTGATTCCCAGCCAGGGTGCTGACCCACATGGCCCAGCAGACATCTCCTGTTTCACCTGCTGCTCCCTTCAGCAGTGTATTTCAGTAGTTCCCCATTCTGTCCCTGTTAAACTCCTTCAGCCCCCATACCTCTGGACTCGATCTCAGTTCTTCTATGCATAGCTAAATAAAAAAAGAAAAGAGAGCATCCGTATTGCAGCACACCTTTTCATGACCAGTGCCTCACCACACTGGTTCGAAAGCTCTAGATTAGTAAACAAATGTGAATATATTTATTTATACTTTGTATTTTCATTGCTGTTTTGCTGTCATTATTTCTATATAGCCAAGAATTCTAGACTTTCCTAATTTTATTTCTATTTAGTCTAAAAATAAACTACAAGCTTATTAAAATTAGGGTCAAAAAGAGTACTAAATGTAGTGTTTTTAATTACAGTAGAAGTAAAATTGCAAAGCTACAAGAAGGTAGCTTTAGTTCAATGTCCATTTGATTTCATTTCAATGTTAAATGTAATGCAGATTCTATCACCATTGTTTTTTTTTCTTTCTTATGCCATATCAGAAGTAAAGCTATTTATGCTACTGAAGCAAAAGCTCTCCAATATTTTACTATGATCCCAGAAGCAAAAAAATGGGTAACAGCTATATATAAAGTATAAATCCGATAGAGTGAATTAAATGGTTTTGAGTGTGCTTTCTTTGGTATCTGTGGCAACTTCCTTTTGGAGCTAATACACTTTCTTGAAATGGCATAAGGAAATCTTCACCTCAAAAAGCTTTCCTAGCTTCTAATGCTAAGAATAGTGCTTCTAAGTAACCACAAAGTAATCCAAGATTAGATCTGGTTAGGTCAATTCCAACCCATCCTGTATTTTTCAATAGTCTTCATTCTTTCCAAGTTTATATGGGTAGTTTATGTCCCAGGATTTACCCAGGATGGGTAAATCTAGTTCTTCTTTGATCTTAAAAAGTTTGTACATTTGTTTTTGACATTCACTAGGCCCCTGAGCTCTTTACTGCAGAAAAAGCTTGGAAAGCTTTGGAGATTGCAGAAAAAAAGTTGCTTGGTCCCCTTGGCATGAAAACTTTGGATCCAGAGTAAGTTAGAATATAAGTATTTAAAATGCTGACATTACATTGAATCAACCATAGTTTACTTATCAGTGAATTCCTTAAAATTGCATTCAAACTGATTCTTCATTTAATTACAGTGTTTTAAGTACAGTGCCTTTGACTTATCCTATGTTTAATAATGAATAAAAGTTTTAACTTTATAAAACTAATATGTCATGAATATTTTCTAATGTCTGTTGTTTTCTGATTGTAAGAGTAATAGGTGGTTATTATAGATATTGAAAATACCCATATTGTCCCCTCAGAGACAATCTTGATCCCAGTAATTCTCTCCATACTTCTAAATAACACAATATACCACTCTTCATGATTTTTTTTAAATGTTAGGCATTGTTATTTTTTCTGACTTTTTTTGACAACTGATGATTTAATTCCATCTTCACCTCACCACCACCCCTTTCCTTCCTTACACCACTATTTTTATTTGAACTAAGTTTTGTTTTCATTTTATAATTATCTATGTTGTATTTTCTTTTCAACATTTGTTCTTTCTTGAGTTTCTAATGACCTTTTTTCTTTGATGGTTTTTCTTTAAAATATTCTTCATCAGATTGCTTTCTATATCAATATATGACAAAACCTTATTTCTATAGTACCTTTATAGATCTCCTAACTTACTCTGAATACTCATTTTAGTCATGAGATACAAAATTTTGTATGTATGTACTTACCTGAATTTGGAGGTGACCTCCACATTTTCAGAAGAATTAAGAACTATTGGTCAAAGTAAAAACCCATAGTTAAAGATTTCTCAAGTGACAAATTCTGTCCGCCTCACCAAAAGTAAGAAAAACCAAGTATGCATGACTATCTTGTATTATTATCTATTGTAGTTCTTTGTTTCATTTCTAACTGTGTATAAATTTTATATATTCAGTTACTATTGTAATCTGCTGATACACCAGTTTTAACAAATTTTAAAATAACTTCATGGAGAAGTTTTAAAAACAACCTTTCCGGGCCCTCCCTGGTGGCGCAGCGGGTTAAAGCACTGCACTGAGAAGCTAAAGCCACTTCCGCATGAGTTCGATTCCCGCCTGCCCCGGAGGTGACCACATGGTGTGGCAGACCTCTCCTGACCCACCCGCTGCTCCCCTCAGCAGTGTACTTCGTCGATCTGCCTGTTCTGCTCCCCACTCTGTCTCTGGTGAAGCCTCTCACCGCCCTGAGCCTCTGGCCTGTACCCCAGTTCTGTATGCATAAATAAATAAATCTTTAAAAAAAAAAAACAAAAAAAAAACCAACCTTTCCAATATATTATATAATTTTATATAATAAAAGCTGCTTCTCTTAGTGCTTACTAATTCAGATTTTCTTGTGTATATTTTAATCATTACAAATATGTTAGGGATCTAATGAAATAATTTACTTTAAACTAGTCAACATTTAGTGTTAGGCTAGCTCATTGAGGGCAAGATATATGAGCTTTTATTTATTAGCCAGTAAGTTTTTGTTAATCATTCCTTAGAACGTTAGTCATGCTTCAAGTGACAGTGTTTGATCAGTGACATAGATGGTGGTGGTCCCAGAAATGCTGTAGCATTTCACATGTGTAGCCTAAGTGTGCAATAGGTTATAACTTCCATGCTTGTATAAGCACATTCTAGGATGTTCATTCATCCAGCAACAAAAAGCTCTTAAGGACACATTTTTAGACTGTATCCTGATCATTAAGCAATGCATTACTGTGTTAAATTCCTCTGAACTCAGAGTACACTAAATTTAAGGTTTAATGAATTAATTCATTTTGTAGATTAGAAGACAAAATAATTTAAATATTTCTCTTGCCTTTGCTATTGAGATTGTCTAATGCTTTGTATATAATGTCTGATCTCTTTTTTAACCTAAATTTCAATCATTTTGCAGTGATATGGTTTACTGTGGAATTTATGACAATGCCTTAGACAATGACAACTACAATCTTGCTAAAGGTTTCAACTATCACCAAGGACCTGTAAGAATTTCATTTGTCTGAGTTTTCAGCTAAAGTTATTTTTCAAATAATTTAAAATATTTATAGCTTTTTTCACTAAATCATCTGTTTTAGGAATGGCTGTGGCCCATTGGGTATTTTCTTCGAGCAAAATTATATTTTTCCAAATTGATGGGTCCAGAGACTAATGCAAAGACCATGTTGTTGGTTAAAAATGTTCTTTCCCGACATTATGTTCATCTTGAGAGGTAAGTTGTAAGGCACATGTGACTTTCATAAGCTGTATGTCAATTTATTAAACAGTAAGTAAATGATATTTCCTTAAAATTCATTTCTGTATATTCTAAGTGTCCCAATAAAATATGAAAACTTTACTCTTTAACACAATTTCTATGATATAATTTTCAGCTTCCTTTAATTATTTCAGATTGTCATTTATTTTAATTTGAAAAGTTGGTGTTATGTGATTTATATGTGTGGAATATATGTGGAATTTTGAGTTTTAAAATCTAGCTGATATATTTGAATATTGTTAGCAATGATTTAAACTACAGAAATTTATTATCACATAGTTCTGGGAGCCAAGATCCTCAAAGTATTTCCAACAGAGTAAAAACAAACATGCTAGAATTTGTGGGATACTGCTAATTTAGTGCTTAATAGAAAATTTATAGCACTAAGCACTTTTATTAAAAAAGAAGAAATGCCTCTACATAAATGATGTCAGCAGCTACCTTAAGAACTAGAAAAATATATACAGTAAATCAAAGGTAAGCAGAAGGGAATAATAATGAGCGTTTCTGAGGGATCCTGTTCTTTGTTGCCTGAAGTTCAATGTCTTAAAAGTGACCGCTCCTTTTGAAGGTGTGTGGGAAGGCTCTCCAGCCCTCTTGCAAGCCTCTGGCGATTCCTGGCTATGTTGGCAGCGTAACCCAGTCTTCCCATGGCTTTTCCCCACATACATTTGTCTATGTCCAGATTTCCTCATTTCGTGAGGTCACCTGTCATAATGCATTAGAGGCCCACCCTATTCCAGTATGACTTCATCTTAACAAATTGTACTTCAACACCCTTTTATCCAAACTGATTCACATTCTTATTTATTGAGAGTTAGGATTTTCATATTTGATTTGTGAGGGGCCCATAATTCAATTCATTACAGATACTGTGATACCTAACTTCAGCAATTTGACATTTTCCTTTGAAGTAGTTTGACCACTTAGAAAAAATAAGATTTCTATATATTCCATTTTCTCTTGTTGGTTTTTAAAATAGGGCACCTGTTAGCTATTAGCTGTTATCCAAAATATTTCCATATTTAGATGACAGAATTGTTTTTCCATTCTTATTAAAAATTTTATACCTGTCTGTGTATATGTAATATAACCAAGAGTTACAAAGCATAATAATGAAACAGCCCAACCTAAAAAATAAAAAAAAATCACAGAATGTGTGTATTTAAATGTTTTAAATTAATGCTTCATACTTAGGGACTTACAGTGAAATTAAGGATAACTTTAATGTGCTAATAAGGCTGTGCTCAGATAATGAGATCTAGAACAAATCACTAACCTCTATAACCCTTTCCTGTCTACTTTCTAAATCACAATGACTGTGGTGTCCACCTTGCAGGCTTATGATGAGCACCAAGTAAAATATGTTTTGAAGCACTTCTATTAGAACATAATAAATGCACAGTACATGCTAACCTCATTCTCCTTCTATAGAATTAAAAAGTAATGTACAAATTCACTTTTTAATTTGCACTTTTTTTCTAGGCACAGTTCTTAGTGTTTCTTAATTTTTTCATATTGGTTTTATAATTTTGTTAAAAGCAAACATACTTTATCTATGTAACTACAATTGAGTCTCATAACCTTATTCCAAAAGGAATAAATCTAGGTCTGGCAAGATATTTTTCTCTACAATTTAGTTGGAATTGGAATTTCTTCTATGTCATTATTATCTAAAGGCATCCCTTTGTATTTCAAAGTCTTAAATCACAAAGACTGAATACCAAAGAAAGAATATATAAATTCTTTAGATATCTTTAGAATAGCCTTCTTATATTGTAGCAAATAACTAAATTATGATTTTTTGAAATTAGATGTCATAATCACCAGTTGTATTGCCTGTCTTGTTACTCTAAACAAGACATGTGTTATATTTCATAAAATATCTTTTTTTTCCTTGAAGATCCCCTTGGAAAGGACTTCCAGAACTGACCAATGAGAATGGCCGATACTGTCCTTTCAGCTGTGAAACACAAGCCTGGTCAATTAGTTCTATTCTTGAAATACTCTATGACTTATAGTTGGTTCATAGATATTTATTAAGAATGCAGTCACATGTATTATGCAATGTAAGGTCATAATATGATATAAATGCTTTATATGCACAAACTCTAGTGATTTTTAAAATCTCATTCATATAAATTTGATGCCCAATTATAAGACTCTAGAAGCATTGATTTTCTTTTCTTTCTTAATGTACAGAAATATTTTTTTATTTGAATCCAAAAGAAAATAATATTACCAATGGAACTTTTTTCTTTTGTGTTCAGGAAGTACTTCAAATATCTGGAAACAAAGAATTCCAAATTCAGAGTTTGAAAAGAAAAATCAAATGATCTACTTGTACATAAGTAAAAATAAAACACAAGGCTTATAATAAACTTAAAAGAATCTTTAGCTTATATATTTTCTTCAGTGACAATATGTACTGAATTGGCTGTGGTTAATTGATAGTCTTGACTTTTACTACAGTATTCCTAGCATCTTTCGCACTGCTTTCAGTAAATATTAAATGGACATTGAATCACAGAAATGTTCACCTACAATGTATGTTCCTAAATGGAGCATAGGTGTTCATAATGTGCTTTTATTTTCTTCTCTGGTATATTAATATTTTAATATAATAAATGCTAACTTTATATTTAACACAATTTGCTTTTGCTAATGATGCACAGATTAAAGCATTAGGAGTTTATTTCCTAGTTTTTAGTTTTATAAAATTAATCTTGAGTTTCAGTTTCCTATTAGGAGATGTTTACATTTTCATAATGCAGATTGTTGGGCATATTTGTGAGAATGTTAAATTTAAAATACTGTTTAATTTTCTAAAATTTAACAAGTATTTTTAGTTTGTGTATAAAAGTATTGATAGATCATAGTAAATTCTGGTTTCCTATTAGCAAAACCCACATGAAAAGTTTAGCATTAAGAACAATCTTAATATAACAAACATATAGAATTCAGCAGTTTCTTAAATTCAGTAAAATTATTTAATAGGGTTTTCATGTTACTTTAAGACACTTTATTCTGAAAAAGAAATAGAAGGAACAAGATTTATAACATTTATATGAGTTGACACTTTTAAATGATACTTATTTTCTAGATAAAATTGTTTTTTACACTTTTGCTGTTTTTGTCTTGTGGAAATATTTAAATTGGGTCACTTTATTTTTAGTTGAAAGAAAATAGTTGCAAAAATTCTTCTTTATATTTGGTGTTATTCACGAGTATGTTTATACTTAATAAAATGATGGTATGCCAACATTTGAGGTCACATTCTCAGTTTGAGGTCACATACCCAACTAGTTCAAGTCTAACTAAGAAAAATAAAGAAGAAAAACAAGTAAACTAAAATATCTGACAAGCAAAAATATGTGAATGGTTCAGATGTCAAATATCCATGTTTAAAAGCTCATTCAATGTACCATAAGATTATCTGTCCACTCTTTGAAAAGTTGATTCTACTTATAAAGCAGTTTCAACTAGCTTGCTTTGCTGGTTTCCCAAATCAAAGCAAATTAAATTCCATGAACTCAAGGAGAGTTGTGATAGTAATCTGATCACTATAGTAAATACATTGACATCCAAGTTTTCCATTTTCCTTCATTGCAGTGTGGATGAGCCTGTGTAGTTAAAAAGAATGACCTTTCTTGAGAAAGAGAACCATTAGTCATCAGAGGTTATGTAGTTGTGTTACTTTGCTTTAACTTCTATATTAAAGGCAGTATGAAAGTGACTGAAAACCAGCACATTAACAGGAAAAAGAAGTAGTGGCTGACAAATACAATTAGGTGGATGCTTGATGGATGAATACATGATTGATAGATAGATAGTTGAACTTGCCATAATATGTTCTCTATAATAGAGCAACTACCCACCTCAGTAATTTTTCAGTAATTTTTCATCATGTTGTACTAGCAAATGAAGTGTTTCATATTCCTAATAAGGAACAGTGATGAAAGAATACTGTTATAATCTGCATGGTCTATTGAAAAGTTTAGAAAGGCATGTCACACATTATTTCATCAGAGGTAGTTAAAAACATAGTTTTAGAATTAGAAGTGTAAGTATCCTTTAATTAGCATTGGAGTGAAACAGAATGCTTCATTCCTGAGTGATGCTGGATGGACCCTTATATTACATTTCAGTGTAATGAAATGTACCTTGGTTCTTCACTAGTCATAATCAATCTTACTCTTTAACATGAGAAGTAAGCTTGCCATTTTAACCAGTATGCTATGTTAATTTAATAAATTTCAAAGGTACGGAAACATGAGACCTGTCGTCACTATGGAATATTGTAATGTATGTGGATTTCTGCTGTGTCTAGTGAGCAAATGTTATTTTAATGTCTGTGTGCCAAGAAAATAAAAATCTTTTTTAAAGGACAATGTTTTGTTTCCATTCCATTACTTATCAATTAACTGATTTGTCCACAGTGATGACCACCCTTTATTCAGGGCTTCCTTAACTTGGGTGCTTATCTCTGAGGACAGAGGGAGGCATAGAGAAGAGGAAGAATTTAATTGGCTAATTTTTTTAATTAACTGTTAAAGTTAGGAACAAAATAAACTTTCAGTATATAAATAAAGTAAAGTTGTTAGCAACTACACACTCCCTGGTATTTGTAAAACTTTTTTTTTTTTTTTTTTCATAAAAAGACTACTTTTACAGCTGCACCAATAGACTGAACCATGATTTAGAAGGCATGGTAACATTAATACAATAACCACCAGCAAGACAAGCAAAGGTATCTGAAGTGGCTTTCCAGTGATGTGATGCCTTGGTCAAGGAAATGAGCTGCTCACAAACTTCCTCACTTCAATCTTCACAAACTCTTCTCCTTCCCTGATAAAAGCCTGCAGCTCAGGAATTGTCTGAGCTACCATCTTCTCTTAACAGGGAGCAACTCTGTCCATAGCAAGGTTCTTCTCCAGCCTTTGTCCCCAGCAGCAGTGGTTGGAAAAGTAGGTATAGTCTGTCCCGTGGGAGTCAACAAAGGTGCACTGGAGAACTCGGTCATAATTTCTTTTTCATTCACTTCATCCACAAGGGAGAGGACAAGCCCAGCACCAGCATATGCCATGGACAGGGCAGCAGAGCCTGCTCCAGCTTTCCCTTGACCACACCTGTGCCAGACTCCAGGATCCACGCCTTGAGGTCTGTCAGTTGGTCCTAAGAGAAGTGATCCGAATGTGCCCTGAGAGCTAGGGGATAATGGTCTTCCCAGCATTACCGCCCGTGACAAGAATATTGACTGGAGCTGAGCCAAATCCTTCAGCTCTGCCACAAAAGTGTTGGCTCTAGCAGTGTGCAATTCCTCCCCGCCTCCACCCCAAGATATTTTTTTTTAATAAACAGAACTGCATTTTCTTCTTCTTTTAATTTATGCATACAGAACCGGGGAACAGGCCAGAGATGTAGGGGCGGTGAGAGGATTCACCAGAGAGAGCCAGGAGAACAGGTAGATGGACTAAGTACACTGCTGAGAGAGGCAGAGGGTGGGTCAGGAGAGGTCTACCGCACCATGTGGTCACCTACGGGCTAGTGATCGAACTCAGACTGAGGTGGTTGAGGCTAGCTTGCAGTGCTGTGTCCTAACACATTTTGCCTTGCATCACCAGGAAGGGCCCCACCCCAAGATTTTAATGGGGCTTTATACACCATGTTTCTTGAAACTTCTGCTGTGTGTGCAATGATGAAGTTGGCTGATTTGCAGTGTTGCAGATCATGGCCTCAGGGTAAGGCCACGATTGTGGCTCTGGTATTGAGCAGGTCACTCCGTGTCATACCTGGTTTCTCAGCACTCCTGCTGGAATAATGACCACCTCATAGCAGCTCAAGCAGTCTGGAAGCCACTAGGGACTGAAGTAGCCTTTCCTATTAGCTCTGGCCCCTGTGGGCTCTCTTGCTGGTAGAGCAATATCTAATGGGCCAGACAGACCACCAAGGGGCTGCCCTATCCCTGAAGCCCAGAACATGGCTACTGTTGCATGTTCTGGCAAAGAGCAGTGCCAGCTTGCCTGGTACAGGCAAAGAACACAGCTGGTGAGGGATAACACAACCTTGAATTTTTTTTAACCTTTTATCAGTTTATTAGCAGCAAATACCATGGGCCAGAGTAGACAATTTTCTGCTCTCCTTTTTCAGAATTTTATTTCTTACATCTACCTTTTTTTTTTTAACCTGAAAACATTTAACTCTAATCTTGGAATTCTAATATAGTCAATATATCTGTATACTGTCTCACAGGGAATTTTTTTTGGTAGAAATTCCAGACATATGTCTCTTATAACAGTGATAGAATGAAAAAAAGAAAATTTCAAAGTTCACAAGTCAAATAATTTCTTCCTTCTAAATCCCGTAAGTCATAATTGTTATATTCCAGGCTTAGAAGTAATTTTGCATAGAGGAATAATTTTTTTTTTATTAATACTCTTCTAAAACAAAAGGGTTTTGGAGCTCTGGCTAGACCAGACATGGAGAAAGCCACAAATGACAGGAAGGATAAAAAGCCGGGAGAGGCAGAAGGCAGTTGGATTAGAATGGCCCGTCTAACAAAAATGTTATAGTTCATAATTTTACATGTATTTTTTTTTAAAGATTTATTTTTATTTATTCATACAGAACTGGGGCACAGGCCAGAGGCTCAGGGGCGGTGAGAGGCTTCACCAGAGACAGAGCCGGGAGCAGAACAGGCAGATCGACGAAGTACACTGCTGAGGGGAGCAGCGGGCGGGTCAGGAGAGGTCTGCCACGCCATGTGGTCACCTCCGGGGCAGGCGGGACTCGAACCCATGCAGAAGCGGCTTTAGATTCTCATTGCTGTGCTTTAACCCGCTGCGCCACCAGGGAGGGCCCTACGTGTATATTTTTAATTCATAATTTTATGCATAGTTTTAAAATAAGAAAAATAGCTACTATAAAAATAGCTAATAAGTTAAAATGGGGTTTTGTAGATATTTGCTTTTGGATTCATTGATTTTGCTACTACTTTGATCTTTCTCAATATTGGACAAAGAGAAATTAGCAGACAAATAACTGAAATTGTTTAGCCTACATACCTAGAATATGACTGTTTAATAAACTTAGAATTTCTGAGTATCTTCAGAAAAGATCTTTTGATTTCCTTTAAGCAACTACAAAATGCTAACTAATTCAAAAGCTAGAGTCACTTTCTATTAGAGATTCACTTAACTTACTAGAATTCAACTCTACTTTCTGAAAATAATAAATATGTTGCACTTCTCAAAAGGTCTTCATTTCTTTGTGTTTCTTATTATTATTCCATTTAGTTAAGAATGGTTTAAAAAGTGTTTAAAAAGATGTGAATTTGGCATCTAGTGTTTAAAAAGATGCGAATTTGGCAACCTCCCTGGTGGCACAAGGGATTAAAGTGCAACACTATGAACCTATGTGCAGCCACTGCAGTATGACCTCAATCCCCCATTAGGGAGCTGTCCCACATGGTGCAGCAGACCTCTCCTGTCTCACCCACTTCGCAGTGTATTTCAGTGGATCTATCTGTTCTGCTGCCCACTCTGTCTCTGGTGAATCCTCTCATTACCCCCATCCTGCACCTCTGGCCTGGATCTTAGTGCTTGTATGCATAGATAAATAAATCTTTAAAAAATAAAGAGATGCTACTTTTCATTAAACATAGGCACTTCTGACCTTTTACATAATGTGCAATAGCCAGAAAGACACATCTTGTTTACGTCTGTGGTAGATAAAAGGATGGTAGACCTGAGAGATGGTGGCCTGAAGGAGTAAAGAAAACCGGACCTGAGAGATGGTGGCCTGAAGGAGTAAAGAAAACCGTCGCATTGCTCTTATAAACTTGTAAGCATGAAGTCCTACACAGATTGGGAAACTGCCCTCAGACAAAGGCTAAGAACTTTACCTTGAGTCCAACTTAAAGGCGTATAACCATTTACGATTAAACAGGAGATACTTAAGTTAGATTCGTTAAGATGTTAAGAAGGGTCTTGTTAGTTTTCAGCCTAGAAACTTTTCAGTGAATATTTGAGTATAATTACATTCCTAGAGAAAAAGACTATGTTTTTGAATTATATTGGCCATATGAAAGGGTGTATAGCAGGCATGTCTCTTTAAAGAATAATGAAATGAACAACCATGGATCTCATACAGAGTTAAAAACTGAAACAAATTTCCTGTGCTTATTTTAAACAATACTGAGAAAGCAAAGATAATATCTGTGTATTTCAAAAATTCTTGTTCTAGAAAGATAAGACAGCAAG